CGGTCCTTTTTCGGACACTGGGGGAACAGGAGCGGGTGAGGGTTGGGGCCACGGGTCGACAATCATCTCCGGGGTCTCCAGATGTTAGTGGGAACCCAGAGACATTTGTGTGTGTGTGGAAAGAACCCAAACAAACCCATCCGAATGTTGTGTTTTCAAATCTGGAACCTTCGGGTGACACCCGCTGAACGAGCACCTTTTGAACGAACCTGGCTTTCCATCGCTCGGCTACCCCGCCTGCGCCACCGAGATAAGCCCGGAAAGAAGGCCTGGACGCGATCACCTGCCACCCACGCCCTCCGCCCTGACCCCGCCCCCAACCTTTTGGCTCTATCCATCCTTTGGTCTGGGGACAAATCCGTTCATTTGCCCTGGTCCCAGACACGCCAAGGTCGTGCCGGAATCCCCCTCTGCCAGTTAAACCATTCGCCCTCTTCTGAACCCCCAAACTCTCTCCGTTCCGCTCCCTCCCCAACATGCCCCGGGTCTGACCGAACCTCCCACCCCGCACCATCACGTTGGCAGGCTCTGGCACTGCCCGCAGAGCCTGGTTTAGGTGGGTAGAGACCCGCCTCTGCGCTTAAGGACCAAGGCGAGGGCGGAGACGCCGTGTCTGCGCGCGGGGGAGGTGGGCACCCGGGGAGCGAGCAGCCCAGAATCCCAGCCCCACGCCCCGCGGGACCTGCGGGGTGCACCGGCCCGCGGTGCCTAAGGAGTCCCGGGAACTCCAGGGTCTTTTCCACTGGTCTTAAGTCCCCTGGGGCCCCAAGATCCCCTCCAAACGGTGGCGCCCCTCCGCGGGGCTGCCCCCCTCGTCTACACCGGCCAGCAGCTCTGGGGAAGGAGGTACATATTTTAACAAAGGCATCCGCATCCTCCCAGCAAAATGGCGGTGGTCCCGGCAATGGCTCTCTGAACCACTTGCACACTTTTCGAAAATGAGGGCCCCAGGCACGCGACCCCCTTGTCAGCCCTTCCTCGACCGCTCCACTTCCCCAAGCCCCTAAAATACTCATGGCATCTCTTCCCAGGGGCCCCCAGGACTCTGGGGAGAGACTTTGAGGCAACTCCCCCGTTGTGAGCCCACCCACACTGCCTTCAAGGGTGTCTCAGGAGAGCGGAGAGACCCCCCCAAGCTGGCCTCAAGGGCTGGGGAGGGGGGGGGCAACAAGCTCTGTCCCTGTCACCCCGAAACTACCAGAGTGAGGGAGAGATAGAGTCGATTTCCCAATTAGTATATACGAGAGATGTGAGGGGCTTCGAGGAAAGGAGGTGGCTCCAGAGCCCCATCCCTATCCCCCAGGGGGCCCAGGCTGTACTGGGGGTTCGGGCTCAAATAGGAGCCTGGACACAAAGGTCTGGGGGCGCAGTGGGGAAAAGACTATGTAGGAGGGGGAAGGGAAAAAGTTTCAAAGTGTCGTTCCAACTCCTCCAGAGAAAGTTTGCTTGGGGCCCCACGTACAGAGAGGGGCTAGAGGTGTGGGGGGCTCGGTGGCGGGGAGACCCCCGAGAGGTGACCGGTCCCCGGGGGAGCGACCCCTCCCCCCTGTCCCGGCTTGGCCCGGCTGGGAGCCTCCCGGCTCGGGACCGCGTGTGTTAGTTGGGGCCGCTTTCCGGCCGCTCCACGCGGCAGGGGGATCCCGCAGCAATCCAGGAATGGGGTCCCCTGCTAGCCCCGGGAGGGGGCTTTGCTCCAAGGGGGTCCCCGCACCTGGGCTCCCCAGCTCCGCAGGGCTAGGCCCCCGCAAAGGGGAAATGTGCCGGCGCGCCAGCGGTCCTCGGCGCCGTTTGAGACGTATGGTGGGCGCGGGGGTCGGCTGCGGGGCCGGCGGGACACCCGGCGGGGGAGCCCAGGGACCCAGGCAGCGGCTC